CTACCTGACGATACACTTTATCGCCGAAACGAACATATATGTTATCTAGGAGAAAATTTAAAGCTTCAATCATATCCTCACATTTCCAGTAAGTGTATCTAGCATACTTTCCTTTTTCGTCACAGAAAAAGGCTTTAAACGAGTTACAGCAAATAAATTTACAATGAGATTTTTCGAAAGACCATTTTATTAAATATGAAATTTTTTCTTTATTAGATTGTGTGGAAGTGTAGTGTAGAGAGTAGAAAAATCATTACTGTCAACAGAACCAAAAGGACCATCAAAAGAATGTATTTTATCTAAAACCTCTAAAGAATTTTTAACACCCCAAAAATAATTAATACCATTATTTTCATAAGCTTTATTACAAAAGTTAATAACCAGTTCTTTGATAGTAGTAAGGGAGGTAGTAAGAAGCACTGATATATGAGTAGTAGAACACTTACTAGATGCGGAGATGAAACGGAATTTAAATAGTTTTTTGTGTAATTTCGGTAACCAGTACATGGTAGGGACTTTCAAATGTTCGGAAGAGGCTTTAAGCTGGGTAGTGGCAGTGATATGCTTGTTAACGATTTGACACTCAGTGGTGCGTACGGACCTGAATGTAGAGGAATTGATAATTTCGTTTTGAAGAACTTCCGTGTAGTATATGCGTCATACCACCACTACATTATTGGCTGCCTTGTCTGCCGGTACGAACACAAACCGCTCTGCGAGTACTTGGAGTTTATTTTTTATTCTAGAAATGGGAATATCATGGACCCTATTATTAATTTCAGAATTGTTTTCAAAATGAGATATTCGAATATTAACAGTATTCATAATTTTATTCAAATAACAGTCTAGAGATTTTTTATCAGATTTTTCACGTTTGCACCAATTTTTACAGTAGGCAGACAGAGCGTCTTTAATGACCTGACGACACTGTTTCCAATCTATTATAGATGGAGGACGGTATTTCGGTCCTTTCTTTAGAAAAGTTTTGACATCACGGTCTTCGATGATGTTGAGGTCTCCTGTAATAACATGACCATAGGGAACATATCTAAAACTAGATGTTTCACAGTCTCAAGTGGAAGGAACATTATTTTCTATATTGACGTCTGATGTAACTGACGTATAATTAAACCCATTTAGGACTCAGATATGTCGTAAGACCATCATAAACGTGTCTTAGTCCTAAGACAGCTTTGTGAAACTGGCCCCTCTGATCAGTTTCACAAAAAAATCTTACGACTAAAGTTGATAGTAAGTATACTGAATTGTTCATGACTTACGATCAACTTTTGTATTAAGATTTTTTGTGAACCTGATCACTGGTATCTCTGGCGAGTTTTTTTTTTTTTAATTATTTTTTTTATAATGTTATTTTGATGCAATGCTTAACTGTATAAGTAATCAATGAATAGAGATATGTTCTTCAAACTTAATGTTCATGACAATTATACATTCGTTTTTTAACCGCCAAATATTCAAAAGATCCTGAGCCATAGAACGATATGAACTCAAAGCAGGGATCCAACAACAGGAGTAATTTCAACTTCCGAAGCAAGGTTGTCGGCTTTCCGAACTTTCCCGAAGTCCTGCGTTTTATGAACTTCGGTCCATGCTTGGAAGTTGGAGTAACTTATGAACTTATTATCTTTTTTTAATCGGGTGGGTGAGGGGGTTGGAAAAAAAGTTGAATAAATAGTCTAAAATTTTTAGGGTTAAACCATGGAAGTATTATATTGACCTTCAACCTCCGTTCAACCGTCAACCTAGTCCGTGATTGCTTTGACGTCTGACAGAATTTTTTTTAGGAATTACCTGTTTCTTGTTGAATTGCATGAAATATTTGCCATTGGACTTTCAGTAAACAATTAATCAAAATATTTGTCAAATTTAGCAATAAACCTTAATTACAGATGCAGATTACAACAGGTTTTTTTTTCTTTACCAACGGAATTTATTGTTATTCAAGCTAATATTAAAATAAGGAGATATGATATATGATTACCTATTTCATTATGCCAAAATATGATATTTTTTTCCGATCAAAACCTTTTTATGATTTTCAAGTCTAGAATCATCGCTGCATGTATTATAACAGTTATGCTTGTTTAGCCAACGGCCCTCTCAATGAATAAAAATCTTACTATTTAAATTGACTGTAACTAAAACTGAAATGTTCATGGCTTGCGAATATTTTAAATCTTCAGTTTTTTTTTTGTGAAAACAGTCGCGGGGTTTCTTTCTTTTTATTTGTTTAAACGCAGCAAACCTCGTCAAAACTGACATATTTATCAATTAAGTACACATTCGGTTATTTCGGTATGTTCCGTAATATGGACCTATAGCAAAATGACATAAGGACGTCTCAGTCGTCTCCCTTTGTATACCAATAAAGAAGATACTGATCTAATATAATCTTTTTTTGTCTAGAAAATCAGAACATCCAAGGTCATCGTCCTTTCCCTAGACTAATGAATGAAATAACACATTATGAAATTGGCACTTTTCAGTCTGGATTTGCATTCACCAGAAACTCTCAAACCTAAATACTTGAAAACTATGGATGAATAAATACGTAAAAATTTGCAAAAGAGCTGTATGACCAAAGGGACATAAACAAAGTAGCCAAATAAATCTTAGGTCTCTAAGGTCTACTATAATTCAAAATAACACTTTATCAAGTGTATGTATAAATCCCCTTAACAAATGGACTAAAGCCTAAAGCCATCCTCCTTTGTCTTATTTTTATAAAAGTTTTATATTTATTTTTTTTTTCCTAAGGGAAAACCCCATGGCCATTTTTTAAACTCATCCCGTATGACCGCAGGTCATTGGGTATTGTCCGTGTATTTATCCTAGACAAAGTGGATGACCTCAGTTCATTGTGTTCGACATAAAGATAAAAAGGGGGTGACAGGGGTTATTGTCTTCAGTACTATTATAAAATTGAGAATGGAAATGGGGAATGTGTCAAAGAGACAACAATCCGACCATAGAGAAGACAACAGCTGAAGGCCACCAATAGGTCTTCAATGCAGCGAGAAACTCCCGCACCCGGAGGCGTCCTTCAGCTGGCCCCTAAACAAAAATGTATACTAGTTCAGTGATAATGGACGTCATACTAAACTCCAAATTATAAACAGGAAACTAAAATTTAAAATGATACAAGACTAACAAAGGCCAGAGGCTCCTGACAAGCGCAAAAATGCGGCGGGGTTAAACATTTTTTTTGAGATCTCAACCCTCCCCCTATACCTCTAGCCAATGTATAGAAAAAACAAACGCACAACGCACAACAGTATTATACTTTGATTGGCCTTGTTTTCTTGTGTTTTGTACACGTTATAACACGCTAATATTTATTTTAATGGTTTTTGTAACAACTTTTGGTTAAATACCGACAATCATGAAAAAAAACCAACACTGGTAACATGGTCTCTCATCATGAAATCAATTGAAATCGGCAGTATGTGTGAGAGGCCAGAAAGTTTTAAAATTCGGCAGACCATCGAAGAATACACATTTTGACTTAATCCCGCCTACTTCCCTTACTGTTGTTAGAACGAATGTAGGACAGAAAGTCACAGGACAAAAAGTCAGACAAAAAGTCACGGACGAAAAGTCATAGGACAAAAAGTCATAAATCAGTTTTTGAGATTATTTTCTGTGAATGAGAAATCACTTATTTAAAAAAAAAATGTATTTTTCTTGAACTATTGTATATTATGTTAACCAACTTTGAAAACAAAATTTATTAAAAAATATCAATAATGATAAAATAAAGAAAACAAAATGTCAAAGTCGCTTGGTACTTAAACGGCTTCATGGTGCCAAGAAATATATCCTTTGAATGATTAAAATTTAATAAATCTTCATTTATCAAGGCTAATGAACAATTTCCTTAACTGTAAAATGAATATATGTAATAAAAAGTAAATATATTAAAATTTAATAAATCTTCATTTATCAAGGCTAATGAACAATTTCCTTAACTGTAAAATGAATATATGTAATAAAAAGTAAATATTTCAAGATCTTTCTCTTATATATATTCTGTTTGTAAACAACTGTCCACAAATTATTTGTGACTTTCTGTCCTGTGACTTTTTGTCCTGTGGCTTTCTGTCCGCTTACCGTTAGAACTTGCATGAATTTAGATATGTGATCATCAATTCTTTAGTTATATTTACGACGTTTCAATAGAATATGGGATGAGAAACAATGTCTTATATTAGTGTTTATTTTTATTTTCCTTTGTAGACCGTTTGGAACGTTATCAACATTGCGCTTAATTCGTCTCTAACTGACTGGTCTTTCAGGGGGTTAAGATTTTTTGAAAAACTGCGAGTTGACTGGGGTATAAAAATATGGTCACCTGGATTCCTGTCGGATGTAGATCAATGCTAAAGAGGGTCGTTCGTTTGACGGTGTGTGATGTCTGTATACGCAATCACGTCCGGTCGGAATGGGGACATTAAATTCGACGCTGTCTATGTGTCTCTAGAAGCACACTTACAACGACTCTTTGAGGGATCCATTGGTAGCCTGCTACAAGGACAAAAAATATGGTTCGTATAAAATATACCATCAATTTCAAAAGTAAGAGTCCAAATTTTTACACAATATAATTATGGTCCCCCCACTTTGCAGAGCCTACTTTGAGTTATTGTTAAGTTGTTCCAGTCCTGAATATGCCTGAAATATTTGTCACTGGAAGTTTTCCAAACAGCAATCAGTAAATCAGAAGACCGCATTAGAAATGCCATATACAAAAATGAAAGGAGATGTGGATATACGTGCTATGGAGATAGCAACCTAACGACACAAACAACAAAAAGACATCTATATGAGGATCATCAAACGGTTTTCAACAAGAGTCTACACAATGTGTCAAGCTCTTTAAGTCAACACGAGTCTGAAAATGTTATGAATGAATTTACAAAAGACTATAAAAAACATGCTCATGAATATAATTATCAAATTAAATTCAAATTGCATGTTTATATTCTTATCCCATTTTTGCCTTTATTTTGACTAATTTATCTCAGAGTTTAGTTGGTAATTAGTAAATTTGAGCAAATAATACATAGCCGATTTTTTATATTTCTAATTTATAGTTGCTAAAGGTTTTTGTACATGTTTCGTTTGCAATATTTAATCTTCTATTTCAGGCAAGTCTCTATATTCAAAATATTTAATTTCGTGTTTGATCCGATGAAGGAGCCATGGACCGAATTTTTCAGGAACATGTTCGGGTCCATTTGAGGTGAACTTAGACATGAAATTGACTCCTATATCACTGTCAAAAGATGGAGATAAGAAGAATGGAACTGAAAATCTATCTATCCCGATATCTAAAACCCGATGTCTGGTTGCTTTAAAACGTCCAGCCATCATCCGTGAGAACGTTACACCTATGTTCATAATTAAACTGTTTGGCCTAGGTGGGACAGCTATCCATTTACCGTCCAAATTAAGAACTTCGAGACCATCATAATTAAAGATATGAAGCAATGTTAAAAAGTCGGAGTCCATATGCTCAGGCGTAGTCACAACTTTTCCATCTTCTATAATTGCGTTTTCAGGAGGTTTCCCTTCCCATGGAGGGTAATGCATTATACGGAAGGTTGAACATGGTTTATCAGAAAATAAATGTTCGAATGAGTTTTCTTCTATCCCCAATCCAAGTGCAGCCAGTCGTAGTATTTCCTGTGATGTTTCGTGAACTATTTCATACATATTTTGTAAGAATTCCTTAAAAGCAACGGTGCCGTTTTCTTCTGGCCAAACTGATTTTTCATACATCCAGTTGTTCGGCGAAACAGTTTTATCGTCTACAGGAACATCTCGAGCGAATTCAAATCCCTCCTTCCGGCTTGGTTCGCCCTCTACCACAGGAAAATATCCTCGATAAAGGTTGTGGTTTTCAGATTTAAAGTTTTTTCTTGTTAACTCCATTTTTGTTTCCATTGGCAACCCGAAGAACCACTGACATATTTTGAATAACTTATCAAAATCAATACCTTTTACGTTATCAATGTATAAAAATCCTATGTTCTCAAGGGCGTGAACGACTTCTTTCGCTAGTTGTATCCGGTCCGTCTTGGCCCTAGATAAATCTATCACCGGTATCGGAAGCTCCGACATTTGTTTCTTCAATTCTGTAAATGAGAAGCAATGATTATGTTTCAATATTTAAATTTTCACCGTTACTCAGAGTCTGTGGAAGAAGGAAAGGATTAAAGAAAATTAGAGTAATACAAATGATAAGAGAACTAGGAATGAGTAAGAGAAATAATCAAATTTTACGACAAAAATTTCATTTTGCTAATTTTCTTTTTATGGACAGTGATGTTTCTTCATGCCTTCATTCGGTCTTTATGTTTTTCAACTCGCTCGCCAAGACTGTGTCTGCAATGATATCCTTGATTTTTAAGAACGTAAGCGATTTATACCTAGTAAAGTATAAAAGTCAAGGATTTCATACCGTCAATTACTTAAAACCTTTTGATTGGAGTTTTATATATATATGATATAATGATATAACCAGTACTAAATATGTCATGCATTTGTTAGAATTAGTTTACAGTTGATAATCTGTACAATGTATAGGTATTGATTACTATTGTATAAAAAGTCATATTAGTAATTTAGCATCATACAATAACGGATTGGTGAATGCGTCTTGTCTAACCATAAGACATAAAAAAAAATTCATGTCTAACCATAAAACATTAAAAAAAAAATCATAAACGATTGATACACATAATTTTCTACTCCATTAACCTGGCACTTTTGACAGTTCAAAATGGTCTTCAGTGCAAGGGATAGAAAAGAAACAGCAAATACATTAAATACCAAAGGCACAAAATAAAGCATTGAAACCCGAACATGAGGGATGAACACATGTGCTCTTGGGTGGATTCGAATGGTAGTTGATGCATGCATAGCTCCTTCGTAGTTATTGTGTGTTCTTCAGTTTTTGTTTGTTACCTTGATTTGTCTTCTTAATCGATTTATGAGATTCGAACAGCGGTAATTTACTGTTGCATAAATTTAAGTATTCAGTTAACTCTTGATTAAAATTTTGTAGTTCCTGAGAAAAATACTACGAAAATTTCACAGGAGAGACGAACTGACGGACGGACTTACGGACAACTGTATGGACAGCTAAAGGATAGACAGGGGTCAACACGTTTCTTAACGGGGTATAAAAATTACAATTGACGGGAATACCATTGACAAACATATGGGATAAACGTTAATGAAACAGCAAATCTACAAAAATACCGTTTGTAAATTATATTTCAAATCTCTCTCTCTCTCTCTCTCTCTCTCTCTCTCAAGAATCTTCCTCTTCAGCAGTAACTGAATTAATTCCGCTTTCTTATAAGGTACCAGTAAGTGGAATCTATGGATAATTTCTTAACATAGTTCAGTAGTTCTATCTGTCATGGTTTTGTTCACTATTTCAACTGACCATGCACAATTCAAGAATGACATTTACAAAGTGTCTCATAAAATTAAAGAAATTTTGACAGGGTTTTTACTCGATATTTTAGAGAAATATATATTGATCAACTTACCTGTTTCGTCAATATGAATACCTCTGGACACAGTCCAGTTTTTATCTGATAACTATCAATCAATGTGTTTGAAATGCAAACATAAGTACATATAAACTGAAGATATACTGTGGATTCATTATTATTCGTTGGATACCAATATTCGTGGTTTTCGTAGGTACAGATGAACCACGAAATTAAATGTTCAACGAATGACAAATTACCTATAGGCCTGTATGCAGACTTTGGCAAAAACACGAAATTAAATATCTACGAACATGTAAGTTTTCCTTAATCCACGAAAATTGGTACCCACGAAAATAAATGAATCCACAGTACCCGGTATGTATGAGTACAAGTACGTGGAAAATATAGTTATACACCAATATACATTATAATATACGGCGCTTTTATGCAACCACGGTTATTTTTTCCATATTTTTAAACTTATATGTACATATTAGAACATAAATTTATTAATTTCTTTATCAAAATTGCAGGTTATTGTTCGTGCATTCTATAAAAAGTCATCAAAGATACCAGACACACAAGACGCGCATTTAGTCTAAATAAGACTCGTCGAGTTAGTTACAATAGGGAAAACTTACAGAACATTTCCAGTTCCAGGCTTTGCCTCTTACTACTGAATAGGCGTGATAGTACATTTTATCGTCTGATGGATAATCCATGCGTATCAGGAGATGCTTGAACGGTCGACCCATTTTGTCTCACTACGATTGAAGTTCGTGTAGATCTGTTTATCTTTATAAGAGAAGATATGGTATGATTGCCAATGAGACAACTATCCACCGCAGAGTTAAAATGAAATGGTAGTAAGCAATTATAGACCAGCATATGGTCTTTAACAATGAAAAAAACCCATACCGTATAGTCGGCTATAAAAGGGCCCGGCATAAAAAATGTGAAACAATTCAAACGAAAAGCCTACGGCCTAATTCATAACATAACAATTTATGTTTGTTTGTTTTATACATGGAATTATCAAGAGTTAACCGAACAGTCGTATTGAAGCTTTATATTTAGTAGGATAACCATATACATATGTAACTTGGGAAGAACGAATTTCTTTTTTCATTATATGTGTGAGTTCTAACTCCTGGAAAACACTAACTCACAAAATCGAGATTCAGAATGAGTGAAATATGAGTTATCCATAATGTTTTATCACGTTTATTGCTTGTAATTCTATAATATTAGAGACGCCCATTGAAGTGTCATCAGTTATACTTTACTTAAGCATTGGACCTATCACTTGTACTTATAATGCATTTTGTAATGATATGGGGGAAGAAGCATATCTTTTAAAATCGTTTCTGGGAAACGGGAGATAACTCAATTTAAACTATATGTCCCATCGCCCAATACGTGCATGTTTACGTTATGTCCTCTACTAGTATTTTCTGGTATAGTGTTTATTCAATTTACCAGCTACAGTATAAGTTTTTTTTCCAAAAGCTAAAAGTGAAAGATTAAGGCAATGGCTTTTGAATTTCCTTTTTTCTTAAAATTAGTTCAGATAGAAGGCCCTTTTGATTTTGATATTCCCAACTACTAGTATATTTATACTTGTATTTCTTAACTTTTGGCCCCAAATGGTTATTCCAAAAACATGTGAAGTCCTTATAACATTCCAACAGCACATGTAGATGAATTATTTATTTCCTACTGGGTATAACATTTTATTTTCTTGATAGACGGTTGCTGCTCACAAAAAAGTAAAATAACAAAAAAAAAACGAGCTCCAAGGAAAATTCAAAACGGAAAGTCCCTTTATCAAATGGCGAAATCAAAAGCCTAAACACATCAAACGAATGGAAAACAACTCTCATATTCCTGACTTAGTACAGGCATTTCAAGGAAGTTTATAAATTAAGAGTTCTTGTGGGTAAAACAAGAGTCGTTTCTTCGAAAGATTAAGGGTCGTCATTATTACCTTTACAGTATATCTTTAACGTCTCATATGACATTGGATTGACTTCGTTTGTCTTATAGGCACAGTCCTGTCCTGACAAAGAACCAACGATATTTTGGGAAAGGTTATAAGTGACAGAGATGCTTGGTTGCAAATAACAACTTTTAATTGGTTTATAATGAATAAGAATTTATGACTTGAAAAAAAAAGAAAATTTGGTGTGTATTTTTCTTGATAGACGGTTGCTGCTTACAAAAAGTAAAATAACAAAAAGACCGAGCTCCAAGGAAAATTTCAAAACGGAAAGTCCCTTATATCAAAAATGGCGAAATCAAAAGCCTAAACACATCAAACGAATGGAAAACAACTGTCATATTCCTGACTTAGAACAGGTATTTCAAGGAAGTCTATAGATTAAGAGTTCTTGTGGGTAAAACAAGAGTCGTTTCTTCGAAAGATTTCATTTGTATTATAGGCACAATCCTGTCCTGATTTCTTCGTTCATGACGTATAAACTACTACGATTATCACAAAGTTCACTTGTTATGAACAATACGATGGATACTACTTCTGGAGTGTTTACTGTTCTCCTTCGCTACACGGTGTTTACATTGGCGTCCTGACAAAGAACCAACGATATTTTGGGAAAGGTTATAAGTGACAGAGATGCTTGGTTGCAAATAACAACTTTTAATTGGTTTATAATGAATAAGAATTTATGACTTGAAAAAAAAAGAAAATTTGGTGTGTATTTTCTTGATAGACGGTTGCTGCTTACAAAAAGTAAAATAACAAAAAGACCGAGCTCCAAGGAAAATTCAAAACGGAAAGTCCCTTATATCAAAAATGGTGAAATCAAAAGCCTAAACACATCAAACGAATGGAAAACAACTGTCATATTCCTGACTTAGTACAGGCATTTCAAGGAAGTCTATAGATTAAGAGTTCTTGTGGGTAAAACAAGAGTCGTTTCTTCGAAAGATTTCATTTGTATTATAGGCACAGTCCTGTCCTGATTTCTTCGTTCATGACGTATAAACTACTACGATTATAATAAATTTTCACTTGTTATGAACAATACGATGGATACTACTTCTGGAGTGTGTACTGTTCTCCTTCGCTACACGGTGTTTACATTGGCGTCCTGACAAAGAACCAACGATATTTTGGGAAAGGTTATAAGTGACAGAGATGCTTGGTTGCAAATAACAACTTTTAATTGGTTTATAATGAATAAGAATTTATGACTTGAAAAAAAGAGAAAATTTGGTGTGTTTTTCCTCCATGTGCTTATAGAGACCACTAAATAGCTGAGCCAATTTTGACAGAATCTAGCGTGGTGCTACAAAAGTTCAAAGTTGTTAGAAATTTGCATGAAACCAACTTATTGACCATTCAATTGCTCATATGTTTCCTTGTTCGAAAACTTTGTGTATGTATCAAGATAGTATACAGGATATTAAAGACTATTTTGGTTGTACAATGCTGCGGCAAATTAGAAATTATTTTCCGTTTTTAAACACAATATTTAAAATACGGTATAAATCACAGGTATAACGATTGACTGATTTTGTTGTTTGCTTAATGTACAGCGGCAAATATGTCATGCAAATCATGTACGAGAACAAATTCAAAAAATAGGTATGCCCTGCCCGGATGGAGGACGGGAAATTTGGACTGCCACTGTAAAATGAGGACATGATTTAGAGGGGTGTATCTGGTCTTGCAACATGCCACTTACTAAACACTAAAACGGTTTTGCAGAGATTCCTTAAAGTGCAAAGAGTGTAGCATATTCGTTACACAAGGCATCGTCACCATGCTGACCGGGCGCGGCTGCGTATCTATATATCCCGCAGAGTCAAACGAACGTTGCTTGCGGGCGGCCATATTGAAAAATCGTCTTTTGATTTTGGGAGATTTATCTTTCAAAATTCGATCATTGAGCATTGAAACAAAAGGTAAGTAAATTTCGACGTATACTTACAACCTATTACATTAATATCAATGCTATAATTTACAACCTTTTCTGTGCCATTATATTTCAATGTTTTTACACTATGATTCAAGATTAAATTCCTGTTCGGGTCAAACCAAAGACTTGAAAATTGGAATTTGCTGCCTCTCCACTAAAACAATAACATTTATTGGAGGTATGTTAAAACTGAGACAGGCCGCCGCGTAGTCCGAATAATATATGTACTGGTAGGATTGCATGTCTTCTTCCAGACTGTTACCTTGTGAAGATGCATGTTTAAGTCCAATTTAGCGTGTAGTTTTAGTATAATAAGGGTTCATATTTATATTACAGTACTTTTTTCTCGTCATGCAGGTAATATTTGCCACTGGACGTTAAAAACCAATCCATCATCATAATCATTTTAATGTAAATCTCATTGTGACAAATTCATAAGATTCATACAATTTAATATAAATATCAGTTTTAATTCTTACTTACTTGAGACTTCAGTAAGTAAACGTTACAATATATACTGAGTACTAAAAGAAACGCAACCCCTGCATAAATTTTCAATTTAAAAAAAAAAGCGATAAATATCCTTTGTGAGCCCCCCCCCAAAAAAAAAGTTTTTACTTTGGATGGTATATTTCTCCATAATGAACCCCTATAACAAATGTTATGAACAAGTAATGCAGAGTAACAATTTTCCTTTGCATTTTGTACAGTATGATCCCGTGCACGTTTAAATAAAATTTGTGAGTTTTTATTTTGATGTTTCTATTTGCACTCAGTATATTTACTACTTGTTATGTATTTTTATACGATATTTATTGTTCTTCAAATGTTTCTAGTGTTATTGTTTATATGTTACTATGGCCTTCTGGGACCCTCACATTTGGAATAAAATTCTTATTCTCAATTATTACTTTTCTTATTCTTATTCTTAATCATTTTTAACTTATATTTGAAGATCTCTAAACTGCGGGCGTTTTCTTTCAAAATTAAAGTTCTTTATATTATATTGATTACAATCGCTCATTTAACTGTTTCGTCATGTAGATAATTCTTATTGTACTTTGTTTTGATTAAAGATCTTTTCAATCCATGCCCATCACTTAATATTGTCTATATTTATGTAAGCTTGTCTGTATTTACGCTTATCACAAAAATGGAACAAAGGTGTGTCAGGTTTAACCAATTGAATCCTTTGTTTTCATGTTTTGACCAATAATATTATTTATTCCATTTAAAGCAATGTGAAGGTCGTGACTTATACGGTTTTCGTCAACTGTAAAAGTAAATACGGGCAGCATATTTGCATCAAATAAATCTAGACATGGACAATGGAATCAGTTCTAAGATCGGTAATGGTCCGACTCCCGAGAAACGACAGAAGATTGAAAATGGAACGGGATCTGGGGTAAGTATAATTAGTTTTTTTATAATTAATATCTGCATGGAAAGTTTTGGAAATGCAAATTGATAAGCATAATGATATTGAATGTCCTTCAATACGTGCAATAGTATAAACTATCGTCCCTCTAACATATTTATAAAGAAAATAATTGCAAAATTTGTAAATATGTGGATGACATACTTTTTTTATTATTGATTTAACAAAGAGAAGACCCAATGTTGTGATTGATTTCCTATACCCATAACAAACACAATGTATATAAAACAGATACTGACACAATATTTTATAACAAATGGAGCGTCCTGAATATCTCTGTGGAGCAGTCGTTTTTTGGTGCACAGGACAAATCCATTATTTTGATTGCACAAGTCTTTTTTTACCAACTTCACCTACAACAACGATCCATTAAATTTTGACATTTTCTACAGTATAAAATATCTCTTTTTTACTTGTAAATATGCCAGTTCATTCAGTTGAAGTGTTTATCAATGTAATTTGTCATTTTACAGGTTTAATCATTTCCTTTTAAACATATCCGCGTTTACAAATAAAATTATTTACTTATTGAATTAAAACTATATTGTTTGACTTAAAATTTTTATAACGAATCCCGTGATGTTTATAATTGTATGTAATTTTCTATGTTCTCTTTTTGATGTAATACTAGTAATCATATCTCTCGACCATTAAAGAGCTACTGGTCATGTCCTGTGGTCATTTCTCGACGCTTACAAAAAGAAAAAGGGGTGGGGGGGGGGGGGTGAAACGAGATGCTCATTTCCCAGATCCCGTTTTTTGTATCCCACTTTCCACTTTTCCCACTTCTTTTTCCCAGATCCCAGCTTTTAAATCCCTATATCCTACACCAACAGCGTGTCATCCCCACCATACAAATAAGAAAAAAGAGGGGATCAAGTGCATAGTTGGGAAATAAAAGGTTCCTATATCTGTAGTTTTAAAATCTAAAGATAATAGATACCTTATGCAAATTCAAGATCTAAACAATGAAATGTAAAAATAAGACAATATGTCTTTATTTTACGGAAAACTGGTTGTCACGATCTATTGATACATGTACAAAAAATTGTTTAACAGTTTAAACGAGCGTTCTCACCGAAATGTGTTAGCACATACGATTTTAATACACGAAAATATGACTTGACCCCTACAATACCCCCAAAATCAGCCGAGTAGATTAAAAGTAAGTTAAAGAAGACTTGTTGTTAATTTATTAACCATTTACTCTAAAAATCAAACTAGTAAATATCAGTTTAGAAAAAAATAACTTGACGAAAAATATGCAGATTTTAAGTATGCATCCTTTTCTTTTTATTTCTTTGATCACAAGACCTGCATGTTATACTAATTGAATGGGGGTCGTCAGCAGGTATATACAACAGTGATGCAATTATATAGGAAAATGATGAAATACAAAAAACTATTCATTTCATTGTCGATCAAAAATGTCAACCGTATATAAACCGATGATTGAAGGTTCTCGGATATGGTATAAATACATCTGAAATATACATGCAATATTAAAATTAGACGGACCCAGGCACAGCTGTAGAGTTATATTTATATCCACATTGGATATTATCGTTAATTTATTTTATTTTAAATATGGAAGGATTTATGTTTTATTGTATTCAGGTCAGTTTAATGTTTTACAGTAATGCCGTTGCTTAATATGTAGTGGATATTTAAACATGTTTGTTGTAATCGCTATATAAGACTTTTTAATCGGTTTAATCTTTGTTTACATTTTATTTTTGATGAACGATTGCAATATTATACAATTGAAATTGTCAATTCTGCTAAATAACTTTGATAAGATTGGTTATTATCTGCCTTTCTTGTGACATACGCCTACACAATTGTAGTGCTCTTTGATTTGAGTTATATCTTTGGTTTGAGAAAAAGAAAATAGTCAAAACTTTATGAAAACTTATTGTACCTGCGAATAAGAAATACGTTTCAAGAGCGATCTAGGATTTTTGAAAGGGGTGCGTAATTCCCGAAAGTGGAATAGATACTGCCGAGCAGAGCTAGTCGATAATTGTTTTGGACAACTTATAGTTTATGATATAAAAAAAAGTTATATAATCGTGAGAAACGTGAGATGTGGGTTTTTTTTTTTTGGGGGGGGGCTGCTATTATTAATAGATTCGGGACGATTTTAAATGTTTGAAAACAATTGGTGATGATGGAAGATTTGTTATATAGTTTCATTATTTTAAAGATTAAGGGCGATTTAAGAGCTCGACATATTGTAAATATACCTGTCTATCGTTGAAGAATTTATACTGTGCGCCCTCTTATTGTATTAAGTTTATTTGCGTGGTGGGTAGCTGTCTCAATGATGTAAGCTCCATATCATACTTTAAAATCACTGAAAGACAAACTTTGAATAGACTGAAACTCTTTAAACTATCTTGCTGAGTACAGGCAATAATATCTGCTGAGTACAGGCAATAATATCTGCTGAGTACAGGCAATAATATCTGCTGAGTACAGGCAATAATATCTGCTGAGTACAGGCAATAATATCACTCAAAAACATCAAGGAAAGGTTGTGTCAAACAATATTATTAGCAATTTACAGACAAATATTCTGGTCTTGCAAATTTGCCATCATGAATGGATAATTTACTATTTTAAGATCCCATTGGCAAAAATAGAAAGAGGGATTAATATTTGTCTATTTGAACAGTGCCTGTTGTATAATGAATCAATTTGTATGTATTATAATTACTCATCTCAAGGCGATACATAATCTTCACAGCAATATTCTGTAGAACAATACGATATGTCATTATACGTCGCGACACTTTTTATTAACCTAGATCAGAACAGAAGCAGTTCAGTCGGGTCATTTTTTGTTGTTGTCGAAAGATTGAGAACCGACACGCGTAGAGTGTGCGACTCATATTATGGAAATTTATCTGAATTTCATAAAATATCTTTATACGTTTTTTTTCTTGCATGAAAATTTAATTATTTTAAGAACGAATTGAACATTTATTTCATCAATGACAGGAGGTAGACAATGTAGCTGTTTAGTCGGTTTTCCAGCTAGATATACAGCCAGGGGAGTCATTTAGTCGGTTTTCCAGCTAGCTATACAGCCAGGGGAGTCATTTAGTCGGTTTTCCAAATAAATATACAATGTTGTTGTTTTGTGGTTTTCGGATTGGTACATGTTATATTTGTACGTTCCCATATTGACACTTAATGCAATGAATTATATATACATGTAATAAAACATATTGAATTTGTCGACTGGCCAACATATCTTAGAGGACATCACATTTACTTCGAGTAGATACTGAAACATTTAAACATGTGTAATTGTATCATCAAAATAATTAACTGTAGGATAAGTTGTAAAACATCTCTCATTTTTGACAACCCCGTCTTCCAACAAAAACCTACAAAACGATTTATACGGGTAAAACATTTGTAAAAGTACTTTCAAAATTAAGTAGTCCAAAACCCAATGTTCGAAAGACCGTTTCCGGAAATATTCCGAGATACTATACATTAAAATAATTCATGTGAAAATATTCTTCATTCATTGAATTACTTTAACACGGCTGGTAATCTACACACGCAGAACAATCGGTTCTGCAATGAAAACCGTGAGAGGATTTTCCGGTTATGCTTGAGTGGAGTAATTGTCACCGCTTCAAAAGGTATGTAGATTTCTAAATCGCAATTTTCTAATTCAACTGATCAAAATATTGAAAATCGGAGAATGCTATGCTGTGGTGAATACTTTTACGAAGTGACACATGTATCATTTACTGTTGTGCATGTAGTTAAACCCCTACAAAATCAATCGTCCCACGAGTAATTGCCGAAAAAAGTGACATTTAAATTTTGAGATGGTTCTATTAACAGACCTACAAGTTCAGATTTAGTTTTTTTTCTGTCAACGGGATTGAATGTCGTTTTGGGCGGCGTGTGCGCTGTTCGAAGGTGATAGACGTCTTAATAAATCTAAAAACTGCCAATTTTCATTATTTCATGCGTGAGGGGATCGGTTCTGATTGAGGACATCGTGAATGCGTGAGGGGAAGTGCAATCATATCTTTATATGGAAAAATGCAACAATCACTTCAAAGAAAGGCAAGTAACTTGCATAGTTTAATTGAAGTTTATAATAAATATAAATTGACAATGGAAATGGAAATGGCTACAACGTAAATATAAATGGTTTAGATTTATTTCAGGTTCAAATGTGCTTATAATTTGTTATTTGTTTTTAAATATCAAGTCGGTTAAGAGCTCTACAGAGCTCATGTTTACCTTGTTGAATTGTACATATCATGCCCGACTCTAAATAAAAGTTACTTACTTACTTACTTACTTACTATTTATGATTGACTATGTTTTTTTCTTGTGCATGTGCATGCATTAAGACTTTAATCTATTTTTTAGATGAATAGAACACGCCACCATTGCCTGCAGTGTGATACGTCATATACTTAACGTACAAAGCTGAACTTCCATGTAAAGCTGGTACATGAAAACACATAAGTCGAGAAAAGTCACAAGGCCAAAGATTAAGAAAATGTTTGCACTTCCCCCCACGCATTCACGATGTCCTCAATCAGAACCGATCCCCTCACGCATGAAATAATGAAAATTGGCAGTTTTTGGATTTATTAAGACGTCTATCACCTTCGGACAGCGTACACGCCGCCCAAAACGACATTCAACCCAGTTGACAGAAAAAAAACTAAATCTGAACTTGTAGGTCTGTTAATAGAACCATCTCAAAATTTAAATGTCACTTTTTTCAGCAATTACTGAGTCACTCGATTGATTTTGTAGGAGTTTTACTCCATGCACAACAGTAAATGATACATGTGTCTCTTTGTTAAAGTATTCACCACAGCATAGCATTCTCCGATTTTTAATATTTTGATCAGTTGAATTAGGAAATTGCGATTTAGAAATGTACATACCTTTTGAAGCGGTGACAATTACTCCACTCAAGCATAACCGGAAAATCCTCTCACGGTTTTCATTGCAGAACCGATTGTTCTGCGTGTGTAGATTACCAGCCGTGTTTAATGTATACTTCATTCAAGAGAAGACATATGCATGTTTGATATATAGTTCATTCAAGAAAAAACTTATGTTTACATATTGTGAACAAATGAAGAAGTACTTATAGAAGTCCTGATGATAAAGTAAAAGGATAAAAAGAAACGACATGTCTAAATGAAGTTAAGATACTTGACTTTATCAGTGTTGGGTTGAAAAAGTTTAATACGTGGGAAAATTCCCGCTCTTAATTGAATACCAAGTATACTTGTGATTAAACATGCATTTTATGCAGAAAACTTTTCTGTAGTAAATTTCCTCCCTGCTGCGAAACGCGGAAGGATATTATCACACACTATACTAAAATGATCTCATTGACACGTATTCCTTATATATCTCAATACTATTATAAAAAAAAAGAAATCCAAGAAACCCAAATATTAAATATTAAACTAGAGAACACAAAGAAAGTGTTGAAAAGCATCAATTCGACTAACCCCGGCACAGCTACATCGGGTAATATCGTTGATTTGCCTTGATATGGAAGGATTTATGTTTTATTGTATTCAGGTCAGTTTAACGTTTTACATCACTATACTTAATATGCATTCGATATATAAAGACTGTTTTACCGCGACATCAAAATCATAGTCAAATCTCCAACAATAAGATGAATTTTGAATTTTACAAAGTTCAATTTCCGATTTAAGTTCATGTACCCACTTTCAACCATACATTATTGAATCTTAAGAGCAGGGTGATGAATTCCTGTCAAACAAAAGTGTTGATGGTCGAATTTGTAGGTAATTCAGGGGAAATCTCCTTGAGCAAAAGGTCTCCAACCGTTACGATTGTAACTACCATTTGGTACTTTTTGGTAGTACACATGTATTGTCACTTCTATAAATCGAATGAAGTAGCCAGCCATCTTTCCATGTTCAAAGAACGTTTACAACATGTTGCTTCAGTCCTTAATCTGCAAACCGCAAATATGAAAATTAGATTACTATTTTCAAGGAGATCATCATAAATTAAGCGGCTATTTTCCGACCACGATTTTACTATGATTTTGTCATTTTTGAAATAAATTACTAGTGTACAAGTAAAGGCCATTATGCCAGCCGATTTCAATTCCAGTATACTAGAAATTAAAAAAAAACCTTACCACGCTCATTATACATTGTGTTCAATGGTTTTGTATTAATAAATGTGAGGGTACCAAACGATTGTTGTAATTTTCTTAAAACTGTCAACTGCCTCTATTGAACACAATTTTCAAGTCATTTTCATATGAACAGGAACACATTGCTTGTTGGTCTGTCCTCGCTTTTTATCCTACTGATAAGGCACTATCCAAAAAACCTTGACAAGTGTTATGTTGAAGTAAATGTCTTAAGAATATAATTGAACTAAATATTTAGGTCATTGGATTTAAAGTAAACACAAATTATATTATTCGATTCTTGGGAAGTATTTGCTTTTCTTGGGTGAACAAATAAATAAATGTATATTGTTTCATGATTGTTCTCTATTAGACCATTTGCTACCAATTGTACATAGACCTATCACGTGACGTGAGAAGACGACTTCAAGATAACCTGATCCACATAGATATTATGAATGTTTATTAATACTTTTGCAGTGAAATAGATTATTCTGTAAGAATCATGCATGAACAAAAACTATAAAATGAGTATTCATATTAATGAACATTTTGGTATGTTACAGCATTCATCCGTACAGTATCATGGGTATCTAGACGAAAAACAGGATTTTGATGGCAGCTTTAGTTTAATTTTTACATTGCCAGAGAAAGTCGGAGCGCTTTGTGGAGCATTGCGAATATTCGAGGTAATTAGATTAAGTAAAAAGTATATTAAAAAAAATGTTTATTCTTGAAAAAAACAACCTACGAATTCATGTACACGTACAGCAATATAATGCACGGATAAGAAAACCAGTGGTCACTTATACAAATTCCACTCCTAATAGTAAATTATTGGCATGTGGTAAATTACAGACTTATGACAATTTTTTGATGTGAATTTTTCTATTGTTGGTTGACAATTATGCAAATGTCTCCTTTTTTCCAGAACAATTGTCGGAAATATAAGTACGTCATATGAATACGTATAAGAACACACATATGAACGTATAAATGAAAATTAAAAATACTAAATAAGTAGCATTCATACCCCATTTATTATCGGGTATTCATTAGAAACGCACAGTGGCGGATCCAGGGTAGGGCGTGGAAGATGTACGCATTCCTTGATCGCCCCCTAAAAGAAAAAGGGAAATATCATGTTGTTTCTCACGAGTATGAATGAGTTTTAGCATAAAATAGTCCAAAATAGTTTCGCCTCGCTACGCTTGGTTGTATCTATCCTATTTCCCAGCATATTACGCCCCCTTTCAAAAATCCTGGATCCGCCCCTGAACACCTAACCCAATGAAAAGGTGAAAATAAGTTGTTAATTCCAGCAAAATAGTAGAAGAATACACGTCACAATGCATCATATATGTAAATGCTTAATAAGTTTCATTCTTATTTCATCGTACATTGATTAATGTCTTGATACAATTATTTCAGAAACACAGTGTGAACTTACATCATATAGAATCTCGTCCCTCCAAACAAGACAAGGCGTTGTACGCATTTTTCGTGTCATGTGACAACAAAACCGGAGGACTCAAAGAAGCCATACAAGAACTTAAGGAGAAATCTACAACATTTAGTATTTTGTCCAGAGATTCTGATAAAGATGCTAGTAAGTTATATCTTTTTTTCAAAAAAGTTTTGAATAAGAACTTCAACAAAATGAATGACTTTTCAGAAAACATTTCCGACAGAAACGTTGCAAAAAACAGTAGGTTGCTGTTTTTGGTGAATATGCAATGCTCTTCTTTTTGTTGTTTAGCGGCCTCAATCAACCGTCTGCTTATTCTGCCACTTTGTGTTGCGCACGCAGTCTAAATTAATAACTTTGTATACAGTTCTGTGATAGTTAAAAAAAATATACAGGTGCACTTTTAAAACAGTATTTGTTGTCTACATTTTTAGCCGAGCATTGAAGCATTGAATCATTCATCCTCTCCCTCATGCAACGCTCTGGTTCCTTGCCTGGCTTTGGCTATATTTTTTTTTTCCTTTTTGGTTTATAGCTCCTCATCGTTTTAATAAGCTTTGGATTTTTAAATATTTTTGCCTCGAGCATCGCAGAAGAGACATTGATTGTCGTTATGCGCATCTGGTGAAGAAAAATTGGTACCGTTTATGTTATTCAAAACTCGGCGCGGTGATTGTTCCTAATTTCTGCAAATTTACATTGCCTGATATGATTTACAATCTTACATTTTTGATAACCATTTTTGTATGTTCCACAGTTCCATGGTTTCCACGAAAGATTGTTGAGCTGGATCGGTTTGCAAACCAGATTTTAAGCTACGGATCAGAATTGGATTCAGACCATCCTGTAAGTTTAGAAATGTCAATTTTGTGTATTCTCTAAAAAAGTTTGTAATATATTTTTGGTATGTTATTGAAATATTTTCATTCATACTATATATCTATCTTTTCTACCACATTAATTAACGTCGTATCTAGTTGTATACACAGCACATGTAAAAGTTGTGATCATTCATCATCATTTTATGACTATGCAGTGTGAGTATCCATTGTCATGACGCTATGACAATGGATACTCAATCTTTGTTACACATATATATGTAGAGCAATGTAAATAAACATTTCAAAAGTATACAATTCACAAAAATATATAAGTAGTTCTATACGACTTTATAGCGAATATCAAACGTTCAACATTTCCCGTTTTTTGTTCTCTTTTTTTTTTTTTTATTTCATTCCATCACTTTTAATGATTGAGGATTTGGATGGGGTTTACTGAATAATGGGCAAAAAGTGCAGAATAAAGGCCAAAAAATATAAAAGAAAAATGGGCAAATGCAAAAAAGAATAACAAAATATTTGGTGCTGAAATATAAAGAATAGAGAATAGTGGTCAAGACATATAAAAAAAATTGACAAATGGCATAATAAATTAAAGAATACAAAAATGGATGACCTACCATCGAGACCATCATGATTTGCATTTCCCGCTATGGAATTATTTTCTTTTATACCATTTTTATTTCTTTATAGGGATTTACTGACAAAATTTACAGAGCAAGACGAAAAGAGTTTGCAGACATAGCATTTAATTACAAACAGTAAGTTAAATTTGTCATTGATGCATGCATAGGATTTGTTTTATTCAAATAATGAAAACAAAACTAGAGGGGATATATAATTAATTCACTTTGATGCTGAACAATATCAGCATTTACCTTTTTCTACAAATGCACAGTCTTATAATGCTTTGACTTTTATTGCAAATGATATATACAAATGCCGTTTAAAGATCGTCATTTCACTAAAAGATCTGATTAAGATAACTAAATTAAGTTACTACATATACGATTAACTATTGGCCACATCTTATTGTGATGAGGTTGAATAAGTATAATTGGTTTATAATTCACCGAGTGGAGTTTGATAAACCTAAGTGAAATGGGATAATTTTAGCCTGCGAAAACATTTTTTTTGGTTAAAATTGGCATTGATTTAGCTTTCAAAAACTGTGAGTACTCTTAATCGGTACTTTTTGATTTTTGCTTTCGTTTGTTTTTCTTCGTGTCGATCTAATGAGTCAAGCCCGTTCCAATTGATTTTAACAGTTTAATCTTATGTTGTGCTGCTACACCACTGTCCAAGGCTAGGGGTCGGACACATGCTTAACCTTGCCTGATTCTTGATGTGCTTGTCCCAAGTAAGGAGACTGTAACTCAGTGGTCGTCGTTGGTTGCTTTCTGTCCTATTTCTTTTAAGTTTCTTGTTTAAGCATGAATCAGACCGTATTTTTTCTTTTGAATTGCTTCTCGTTTAGTCATACCGGAATCCTTTTATAGCTAACTATGCGGTTGTGGTTTTGCTCATTTTTGGAGGTCGTACGGTGACCTATATAGTTGTTTTTTTAATCCACACCTATTGGTCTCTGGGGGATAGTCCGAAAATTGCAACCATGCATGCTATCTGCAACCCGATGAAGAACTACTAATGACATATTAAAAATCAGCGCGAAAAAAACCATACAAGCTGACATTTTACAGAATGTGACTGACTTTTTAAAAGGAAAAATATATTAAACAACTTCACATAATATAATAAGTAAACGATTCATTCCAAAACAAATATTTTGTTAAGGTATTAGATTTTCGAAATGTAAAAAAAATTTTATTATATATTAACATGAAAATAAGAAATATCACAATGTAAAACAGCTTTAAATTTATATTTTCTTTCAGTGGTCAAGAAATACCAAGGGTTACCTACACACCGGCCGAAATCAAAACATGGTATGTATGCATTGGTAGAATTTGCAACGTGTGATATTTAATTACTTAGGTTGTAAGATTCTATCACACAAAATGGCTATCTGTATTGAGTTGTTGAGTTCGTAAATTTCATATTTGATAGAAGCTGTTTGCAAAAATCATCATAATCACGTCAATTAAGTCATATTATCAAACACAATACGCATGCATTGGCATATACACTTTGTTACTGTACACGATTATCTAACCCAGTTTATAAACTTTCTCGAAGGTGACAAGTGATTGCAAGAGACATGCACAAAAGACGTAATCGAACATGTGCCAAACAATCCCCCTCGAGGTTCCACACAAGAAAATAATTCTGCAGCGTTAAATGTTATAAGACTATTTGCTTGTCGTCTACAGTCTCATTTTCGGAATTTAAAATCAATCTCACCAAAGCTAACAAAGAGTAAACCTATGTGTCATATCAATTGAGGTGGACTTTATGCTCTGTTTGATATTTGCAGCCATTCAATCAGATTGGAATCTGTTGATGCAGCTTAGAGACCGCGTGAGCGAAATTCCTCTATGTCAATACGATCTTATTTCATCTTGTTAGTACATTTTTTTTTATCAGTATTGTTACATTAAAAAAAGGTTGCAATTTGAATTAACAATTCTGTGCCATATACTATATGTCTGTTTTTTTGTAGGGGAACAATCTTCCGAGAATTAACAAAGCTATACCCAACACATGCTTGTCGTGAATTTAACCACATCTTCCCTCTGTTGTGTGATAACTGTGGTTTTAAAGAAGACAATCTACCGCAATTACAAGATATTTCAAACTTTTTACAAGGTAATTAATGTTATCAGGTATAGTTACTGAATTAAACATGGTTAAAAAAGAAGAATGATTGTTAGACATCAAAGATATCTTCGATCAAAAAGAATTGAAAACATCTGACAGAGAGACTGTGTAATGTGTCAATATAAAGCTTATTTATAGCATATGTATAATATGATAACACATTGAACGCAATGTATTGTGAAAAAAAACTCTTTTGATCTACCTTCACTATGAACGCTCTAACTCAATCACCTGAAAGTCAAGAACGTATAAGAATAAAACATGTTGAGAGCTATGTGACCAAAAGGGACCTACAAAAAACCCACATTTATCTGAGGTCGTATTTGCCTGAGTGAGTTTATAATTTCTTCTGAATTTATCAACGGCGAATTTTAGAATCATGTTATGACTGAAGCAAAACAATCGTAATTATCTGTTTGCACAACGTTTTCGTTCAAACAAACCGGCATGTGGTGTTACCATGTGATTGAACGTAAAGTACTAAAGCACTGACCTCTACTTCTCTTCTTTAAGTTTCTAGCGATCCTTCAATTATTGAAGATTATTCGCCGGGAAAGTTGGTGATACCCTCGGGAACTAACAGTAAACCAATAGTGGTATTAACGTTAGATGAAAATTAAAATTGTTCGTTTACACGACATTTTCCTTTAAACAAACGTTGAAACAAACCTACATATGAGAACATTAGGTTTTGAAATTATAACGATCGCGGATCCCGTCTAAGATACCGTTACAATGAGGATACATGCTTTTCAGATCCACCAGCTACATACAATAGCATATATATATCTTTATTTTCGTAAACCAAAGTACAATGGTATAGAGACATCATGGTCTGAATGAGAAAGGCAAAAATGTAAGAGAAAATAGTGTAAAAATCGTCCCAAAATCTTTTCACTTTCATTAGACAACACTTAAAGTATCATCATACAATTATAAAACATTACATAGTATCAATATGGAATTATAAAACATTACATAGTAGTACCAATATACAATTATAAAACATTACATAGTATCAATATACAATAATAAAACATTACATAGTATCAATATACAATTATAAAACATTACATAGTATCAATATATAATTATAAAACATTACATAGTATCAATATACAATTATAAAACATTACATAGTATCAATAAACAATTATAAAACATTACATAGTATCAATAAACAATGATAAAACATTACATAGTATCAATATACAATTATAAAACATTACATAGTATCAATATACAATTATAAAACATTTCATAGTATCAATATACAATTATAAAACATTACAACAATCTTTCTCTAACAACCCTGCAACAATTGGTACGATAGTCCACAATATCCTAAATGATAGCCGGACCCTAAAACCAATAAACCAACCAATCATTCTCTAAATACAATATGCAATAACCAAATTATGCAGCTATTTTGTTCAAATACTTTCAAACATTGAGAGATATCAGTAGATACTTTATGTTACCGGTAATGCGCATTACCACCGGACAGTAAAACACATTATTGCTTCAATCTGGCTAAAAAATGTTAATTTATTCTCATCTGGAAGGACGTATTTCTGTAATAAGTAATACATAGACTTTTACTGAGAAGAACAATAGGTTCACGCAATTTGACGTTAAAATCACCATTCGTCATGACTTTATCTCTATATTAAACATTATTCTTAACCTTACAAACATACAGAATGGTAAAAAACAACAAAATCAAGAATTTAAATTTCTTAATGTTTGTTCAGTTTAACATTTTGAAATTTCAGATTGCACAGGGTTCAGATTACGGCCTGTTGCTGGGTTACTTTCATCACGTGATTTCCTTGCTGGTCTTGCGTTCAGAGTATTTCATTCTACACAATACATCAGACATGGATCAAAACCAATGTACACACCAGAACCGTAAGTTGTCTTCTGTCCTTTCTGAAGATTTTTGCCTTTTTTATTATATGGACCATGCTATCTTAAGGCTTTCTCTTTCAATATTATCTCAAAACGATAGCTTTATTGACAGACACCTTTTACAACATGGCAGTCTTTTTCACCTATTATCGATTTAATTAAGAGGTCCATAAACCTTGGTAAACCTATTTTTCTTCCAATAACTATTTTCATTTTCTATCCATGTGTTTTTAACCTTTACATTGTTTTCGTTTTAAACTGTTTTGTTAATATATTACAATAAACGCATTTACCTTGACATGTTTGGTGTATTCAGTGGAAATATTATTACTAAAATAACTTTTTACGGAGATGTGTGCCAAAAATAACCATAACCTTGTTATTTTATATGAAATACCAACATTTACTTTTAACCGAGTTTTCCCGAAGAAAACATCCGGTTATTAATTTGGAGAAGTACAGGTTGACAGGCGACTGTCAACAATAACTTATGAACTGTTCAACAGATGCATTTCGAATTTAAATATGTTGTTAGTGATAACAAAATATTAAAAATTTTCACTTTTTCTGTTCAAGAGTTATGGTCCTTCATAGATTTTTAAATTTCAATTCATGTTGTTTCCGTTTAATAATCTATGAACCGTACAACCAATGCTTTTCAAATTTTAATATGTTATTACTGTTGATAAAATGGAGGTCAGTTTCAAGTTGATGAATTTCACTTTTGCCGTTTAGGAGATATAGTCCTTGGTAGATTTAACTGGAAAATAGGCACAACACGTGGCAGGTCAAACATGCCTGAAAGTGCCTTCAAATTAAATAAACCCGGTTTGCTGTCAGTTTGACAGCTCATTTCATGTTAACATTTTTTTAACGACATGCGTGTTTGGTCAAAATAAGCATTCTATTTTTATAGAGATATATGCCATGAAGTCCTTGGACATGTGCCTTTATTTGCTGATCCATCATTTGCACAGTTCTCACAAGAAATTGGATTGGCAAGTCTTGGTGCACCAGATGAATACATTCAAAAATTGGCTACGGTTAGTTAATGTAACAGTTTTTTTTCTTTTACGTTTTACTTGTTATAGATGCAAACAAGATTTTTCATCGTTTGTATTATGGGCAATTATTGGTTTGCCATGACAAAACCTTGATGCATAGACGCAACTTTAATCATCAAATATTCATACATTATAAAGAGTTGTTAATTTTCAATTTTCCTCATAAAAGATCGTTAAAGAATAACGTTAGGACTGTTTCAGGATAAAACGCATTGAAGCGCAACCATCAATTATATAAAATTTTATCTCTACTTATAATTATTATAAACTTCTACGAAAACGACAATCGTTAACAATCAATTAATTTGAGTGCCTCCAGTCCTCCCTTATCACTATCAATTTTTGAACAGCCCTTAGTTTCAATCATTATATAAATTTGATATCATACAAATACCATTGCATCGTAGTTGTATCTTAAATATTAGTATTTACACTTCAGTGTTACTGGTTTACGGTTGAGTTTGGATTATGTCGACAAAACGGTGAAATAAAAGCTTATGGTGCTGGACTGTTGTCGTCGTTTGGTGAATTACAGGTAAGTTAAATGAATTGCTAGTATGTTTGTTGACATTGTTAGAATTTGACACTCCAACATTAGTTTTTATCATCTCAAATTAGGACTAGGCTTGAGTATAAATTCAAACTGTATTTGGCTTATGTATAGATTACAGTTGAATTAACTGTTAAGTTGTAAAAACATCACTTACCCTTCCTAAGCACTTGAGATCGTGAGTTTTGATTCTCCCTTTAATTTATTCCGCCGCTTTTTATGCCCCATTTATGGGCATTATGTTTTTCGGTCTATGCGTCCGTTCGTCCGTCCATCTGTTCGTTCGTTCGTCCGTCCGTCCCTTCGTCCGTCCGTCTGTCCCGCTTCAGGTTAAAGTTTTTGGTCAAGGTAGTTTTTGATGAAGTTGAAGTCCAATCAACTTGAAGCTTAGTACACATGTTCCCTATGATAGGATCTTTCTAATTTTAATGCCAAATTAGATTTTTAACCCCAATTTCACGGTCCACTGAGCATAGAAAATGATAGTGCGAGTGGGGCATCCGTGTACTATGGACACATTCTTGTTTAAATGAGTAACAGAGATCAAATTCACATAAAATTGGACTAATTAGTATAAGCTTTCAAAATTACCATTGAACAATCCTGTCGGGTTCCTATTCGTGATATTTCCTACTGCTTATATCTTTTTTGCATAGTATTAAATGTTTGCTCTATAGATAGTTTAACATTTTTGAGAGTTCAAGGAATGTCAATGATTGATTTTCTCTCACGTTAATTTGTCCTTAAATTTATATTGAATCTAATTTAACATTGGTATGCTATCTTTTCATGTGCCTTGACGTGAACTTGATCGTAAAAGACATAATAAGAAGTGTTGGCTCCTGAACAACATTTAATACCTATGACATCTTTGGAGTCTATTGTTGTCCCCCCCCCCCCCTTTTCAACCCGCAACGCTCAATTTAATAAAAAAAAGGAGTTATGCCCCTCGGAAATATTTATTATATGAAAATTGCATTGTTAGTGCTCTCACGAGTACAATTCTTGTCAGAATTTTATGAAACTTGTATCATATGTTTATATCAGCAATGTCTCGAATGAGTTCGAAAATCAGTGCCGATCAATTATTCTTAAAAGAGTTATGCCCCTTGGAAATATTTATTATATGAAAAATTGCATTGTTAGCACTCTCTTATTTATATTGGAATAATACCATGTATATAGTTATCAAAGGTACCAGGATTATAATTTAATACGCCAGACGCGCGTTTCGTCTACATAAGACTCGTCAGTGACTCTCAGATCAAAATAGTTATAAAGCCAAAACAAGTACAAAGTTGAAGAGCATTGAGGACCCAAAATTCCAAAAAGATGACCCAAATACGGCTATGTAATCTCTTCCTGGGATAAGAAAATCCTTAGTTTTTCGAAAAATTCAAAGTTTTGTTACAGGAAATTTATAAAAATGGCCATATAATTAATATTCATGTCAACACCGAAGTGCTGACTACTGGGCTAGTGATACCCTCGGGGACGAAACGTCCACCAGCAGTGGCATCGACCCAGTGGTGTAAATAGGTACCAGGATTATAATTTAATACGCCAGACGTATATATCTTTCTTTCCTCACATTGTGCACAATTTAATGAGAAAGTAAACAAATTCGAGGTAAGGTTCACTCTAGTCATCATTTGGACTCGCATTTTTATTTATTTCTCCATTAGTCTAGGCCAGTTGTAGAAAATATTACATCTCACAATCGAAAATAGTCATATGTGTATTTATTTCCTTCAATTTTATACAAAAACACAAATAAATAAACATATATCCGACCATTTCTCTGTCTGTAGATACTCCGTCACCGTACTGAATATCATATACTACCGAGACTAAACATTTTTTGTCGGGGTACTTTAAACATAGTGTTTCTGTGAGGATATATACAAACTAGAATCGAAAAATACCAGCAGACGTCATGATTATCTAGATTAGTAAGAGCTGCTGTTTCTTGTACTTTCGAAATTGTAGCTTTTTACATTAGATTATGGTCTTATTTTAGTACTGTGTAAGTGACAAGCCTGAAACAAGACCATTTGATCCAGCAAAGACAGCTGAACAACAGTATCCTATCACAGAGTTCCAACCAATCTATTATGTAGCTGATAGCTTTGATTCGGCAAAGGAGAAAATGAGGTAACATGATAAATAACGTCATCGAAGTCAATATGTATCTATCAATGTATCGTATCATAGCATGTTTAAAAATGTCAAAACTCTAATTAAAATGAAAAAGGGAAAGGTGAAATGAATACAAAGTTGTTGTCAAGGAACAATTTTGGACTCTTATTTCAAAAAACTCTCTACCATATACTATATTCTGTATGAAACGTTGTCTTAAATACAATGATCATCTGTAAGTAGAATTCACCATAGATATCAAAAGGAAAAAACTACTTATAAACTATTTTCGAATACAGCTTACTTAAGTGGCGGATCAAGCAAAAGTGAAAAAGGAACTATAGTATTCGATAAGGTTCAGTTTTTATTTTGCATTTATCATAGTTGTTTGTTCAAAAGGGTGTCTTTAAAATCGCTACAGTACTCTTGTTATTTGAAAATGAGTAATACTTAGGAGCTTCATCGGAATGTCTAAACGTATTCCCTTCCTTGAGACTTTTCAAAGTATGCACTCAACAAACGGATAATGTTTTATCTATCCGTTACATCGTTCATGTTTATGATTTCTGTCTTTCAGGGCATTTGCATCGACCATACCAAGACCGTTCAGTGTCAGATACAACCCTTACACACTTTGCGTTGAGGTTATTGACAGTAAAGATCAGATAATCAATCTTACAAAGACAATCAAAGGTAATTTGATACACAATTATAATTGTAAAAAGAAAATTGACAACTGGTTTTATAAGAATATTCCTAAAAGAATTGTGCAACCCAATTCATTTTAGATATAAGATCATATAACCATTTGACGTACACTAACAAAGCGCAAACTTTATAACTTTAGTTGGACTTACAATTAGGAATGTCGGTCTTTTTGCACTTTATGAAATTGAACCTGTACAAAATGTGTATGAACTACAGGGTTCTCAAAAGAAGAATTCAAAATCGCTTCAAGCATATGGAAGAAATTTTAACACCCCTTCCTGTTTTCTTGGTGTTTATATTGTTTAATCTTTAGTATTCAATGTATGATTTTTTGGACGTTCTGTTTTTGTCATTTCGTCTTTTTGCCATGGTGTTAGCATTGCATTTTTCGACTCACCCACCTTCTTAAACATGTTATATGCTTATCCTTTAAAGACAATACTAGGTATAATTCATTTAATATTCAGTATATCATTGCATTTTTCTTTCCACAGGTGATTTATCACTTTTGGAGGACGCCCTTTCAAAGTTGGGAAGCAACAAGAAAGAATAGTTTGTTCTCTGTGACTCATATCATGTGGCAGTAAACATCTGACCACAGATCATACACATGACAAGAATTTGATCTATATTGACAACATAAAATTCCCTTTTCTTCCGAAACAATGTATTGTTTTACATTGATCTACAACGGAAAATAGCTAATTTAAAATATGATTTTTTTTTTAAATATATGTTACTTTGTTGATTTTGTTTTATTTTTGTTTTATTTTAATTATCAGACATAACGAGAACTTTAACTGTTATTTATGTGTAACATGTTTTACTTACTTTCATATGATGTTACACTTAAAAATTATATAATTTTGTGAATAGGCAAGAGTTTTGTCAAGATAAGAATTGATGATATTGTTAGATAATGCTATTACATTTGTGTATAATACCTAGAAATTTTATTCCATAAGTTTCAGTTACTGTGAATTCATTAGTATTCGTTGGATACCAATTTTCGTTGGTTTCGTGGAAACAGATGAACCACGAATTTAAATGTTCAACGAATTACAAATTTTCTTTAGGCTTTGTATGCAGAGATTGGCAAAACCACGAAATCAAATATCCACGAAAATGCAAGTTTTCCTCAATCCACGAAAATTGATACCCACGAAAATAAATGAATCCACAGTAGTCATGAAATTTCGCTCTCTCATACCAGGTACAATTGTTCTTTGAAAATAACTGATTAAATATGTTAATATATTTTAAAGTGTGTCGACGTTGTGCTTTATTTCAATCTTTTTGATTACAAGTATATGTAGACAGCATTAATTAAATATAATGATTTTGTTTACAACATTGTTATCTTCAAATGTATTTTTTATAACGGAATAGGGCATATTACACAAGAGATTTTTAAAAGTGGGTGTTTTGGGCATAAGGAATACAGGATTTGCTTTTGAAATACATAACTTGGTTCAAGTCATCTAATAAAAATTTTGATATTAATAATTGTACACACATTATACATGTTATATTATATGTAAATGCGTGTGATATGACAGACTTTTGAGTTACTCCTTACAGTTACACCTTGCAGTTCAAATTGATATTCGTTTAACTTATTATAATCTGTTGTGGCACTTTTTAATGCCATTACAAATTATATTGTTATACATGCTTTTACTTGTTTTAATTTGCCATAATTTGATTACATTTTTAACTATAATTTTATCCTTGCTAATTGACATTGAGAAGGATATTATGAATGCTGAAAACATAATTTGAAGATTTAAAATAGCTTAGGATATAGCTACAAGGACTTATAATCAGATGGTTTGAAAAGAAAGAACACCTAAATTAACCAGAACCATTTGTGAAAGTATGCGTGTATATTTGATAGAATAATTTTCCTAAAACCACAAATGTTACTAGAAATTGTTATTTTATTCATGTTTGATGTGTTATTTGTTGACAATAAACAGGTGATATATTTCATGTGTTCATGTCTCCGTGTCCCTCTGTGACAAGAAATTAATTACTTATGTGACACCATATGTATTGTTTGTTTGTAATACACTACTGCAATTTAAAGAGGTCAGGTATTTACAGTACAATCAAGCTACCCTAAAAAGCATGAGTAATTTGACTTTGTAGATAAGCTTATGCAAATTCAAAGTTTAACATAAACTTCATTTAATTTGTTTTTAAATTTGCTCATTTTTTTCCAATATAAATACAAACGCTATGCAATGAATACTCTATTGTATTCATGTGGAAATGTTTGCGGATCCGAGGGAACTTCAGCAGATTTTAATCTTGTCGTTTGGTTAAAAAACCTCTACACAATTTGGCATGATGACTAAACATTTAACAGAATATAACATAAAACAGTAGAACAGCTATGTTGGTTGCTGGTAGACGCACCAACAAAAAAGTTAAAAGATGCCATCATTTATAATTCTTCCAATTGCTACTTTGTGATGTTTTGTCTACGTGAGTTTTTTTTCTTGAAAGATTCAACTACCAGTATTCTTAACCATGCAAGAACTGTTCTTCGAGTTTTAAGTGTACTGCCAAAACCAGGTTTACATTGAAAATGTTCTCCGAAATGTGTATACCTAGTCGATATTATGACGGAATCATGTATTGTTTTATTGCTACCACTGGGTGGTAGATTGTTTCCATTCATGAAGGTACATCGGTCCAGTTGTGGTTTCTTTTCTAATGTGTTTTGATCCAACCCCCGCACAAAAGTAACTCTTTAGTTTTAGGTTTCCATTAATATGTCGGAATCAACTAGTATGAAGAAAATACTGTTAAAAGTTTAAGCGCTTCCTTGCATTATATCTCCTTCTCATTTGGCAAAACCTTTTGGAATTTTGGGTCATCAATGCTCTTCAACTTCGTACTTAATTTGGCCTTTTTAAATTGTTTTAATCGAGCGTCACTGATGTGTATTTTCTAGACGATGCGCGCGTCTGGCGTGCAAAATGTTAATCCTGGTATTTTTTACATTAACAACAGAGTTCTAACCTGTATATAATTAAACAAAGTAAACATTTTCAGGATTATGGAGACAAGAACGATCGGACATTGTCCTTATATTGTATGTAATACCACCTGAACGCCTAGTACAAAGTAGCTATTACTTAACAGTCGTAAGATGAGATTACAATATTTATTAATGTACCACTTTTAAATAACTTTGTATGTTAGTGAACACTGTACCGAAAGTTTCATACCAAATATTGTTCACCTATCATGTGTAGTTTTTAGTTCACTTACAAAACACTGCGGACCTGTTCTTGCATATTGCCTAAGAGACAGACCAATTCGAACAAACTAAAAACTAACCTAACCAACGGACCATGGAAATTAGGTTGATATATGTGAACGGAATTATACTCATAATCCTAGAGACAAACAAATTCAACTTGAAAAGGAAAATAAGGTCATTTGCAGACACAATTACTTGTTGAAAATGTTAATCTTATGCAATCTCTATGTATTTTGAGCTTTTTGCCTACGAAAAATCCTTTTTACAAAACCACTAAGACACTTGTAATGCCAAGTAAAGATGGTAGTACAAAGACAATCTGTAGGACACATCGAGGTGTAATACGATTACGGCGCAAATTGTTTGATCATTTTAATTACAATTATTATGTCATAATACTATTGTTTAAGGTCATTAAATTCTTCCTTTATCTCTTTAAGAACGTCTGGTTTTGTGTAGATATCCAATGCTGTCATTGCCAAAGCTTTTGATATAGCTAATGTGTATGGTTGTGCTGCTTGGTCTCCTTTAAAATAGGAATACATAGCAATTAATGAGACTTCCTCTATCAAATACAATTCAGAAGAAACCACATAGAGCAGTAGGTATATAAAATGGGGACGATTACCGGCTTCATTACAGTGAATATATAGATACGGTATTCGTCAATTACTCATTTTTTAATTTTTCTTTTTGTTATATTAATTGTTACTCTTCTTTAACTATTTTGACCATATAATCTCTGCTCAAAACTGAAAGATGGAGTTGTCATACAAAAAGGATACATGGTAAAACCTAAAATTAGTTTATTTCACAGTTTTTCAACTGGGAAATGCCCGCCGCAAATCTATAAATACCGACAGAACAAAAAGCAATTAGTTAAACTAGATAAATAAGATATGGAAGATACCAAACGGAGAATAAAAACTCTCAAGTCGGAGACAAACCCCCAAAATTATGGCAAGTCATAAAAAATGTCGGAAAGTAAAAACTAAAAACATCAACACGAACCCCGCCAAAAAGCCATGGGTTCCGGAAGGGTCAACTTGATATAATTCAAATTAATAGTCAATCCTGATACCACTGCTTCTTTTTGGGAGAGTTAACTCTTACGTGATGAAAAAAATGGTTCGTACAAAAGGTTTTCTGAACCTAACATCATCAGGATACTTGATTTTTTTTTAAATTAACCAGACATATCTGTGCAGTTTGATGGACTTGTATGTCAAGGAATAGTATGCTTTCAAGTAGTAACCAACTATGTACCTCTTTCTCAGACTTGTTGTGTACGGATGAAGCAGAATTTATACTAGAAAGTGAAAAGAAGCTAACAGAATCCTTTAACTTTACGATCCGCTATACATGTGGGTCCTTTCACTGAAAATTTTGACATTTGTTGGCTATATTGAACGCATCTTTCAAATCGAATTTAAAAAAGAAAACCAAAAATGCATCTTGGTTTGCTATATACCTTCATACCAGTATTGTTGTCTGATCTGTCATGTTACCGATTGTGCCCTATTCCCTATTGTGATAATTTGACTGAGGGTGGATTCGCATGGCAAGTGATGCATGCATAACATGAGACCCTGTCGACGCAACCGTTCTCGCTTCTTTTGGAGTTTATGCGAGTCACTCCGTTTGTGTTTGTTACCTCGAGTTGTCTCTTCTTAGTCAGTTTTCAAGAATTGAACATCAGTAAACTACAGTAGCCTTAATCTAGATATTGTGTTCCCTCTTATTTTGTAGGAGTTTTTTAAAACGCGTCTCTAAACTGAACAGTCTGAATTTTCACTCTTATAGAAGTATCCATAGATAATTGTAGGAGTTAAAATGATAGTCTGACGGTTGGTATTTGAATACACTTGACATTGGAATAATATTCAATTCATTCCATAGATTAGTTTTCAATAAATCAAATTTTGTATACAAGACACAATCCATGGTGTGTGTTTATTTACCAGGATTATGCAGATTAATGATGAATTTGGGGATTATCTGGTATTGTAAACAAAATGCGCAATTACTTACCCGAAGCTGTTGTGAATCCTTCGTTGTGGTTGCATATTTTTGTGCCGATATAATACTTAGGATGTATACTCGGAACAATCCTTGATACATTTCCCATGTCCGTGGCACCACCATATTTAAGTACCACATCCGGATCATTGTCTATATGGACGCCAATAGATGACGCATTATATTCAAACAGCTTTGCCATTCTGTTATTTGACATTAAAGCGGAATAAAAGTGATCGGCAAATTTGTATGTTGCCTATGAAAGAAAAAGAATGATAACTAACATACTAATGTGGATGCAATAAAGACGCATTTCTAACGTTTAGTTTAAGAGATGTGGTGCAAGTTGGGATAATTGCTCAATCATTTCATTTTGATGGGAAATATACTAGCGATAAAAAGCGGTAAAAAAACGTTGCATTTTTCATGTTTCTAAGATATGTCAATATTTCAATCATTTACATTATATGTTCTCGTATTCTATAATTGAATAAAGTTTATGTTTAAGAACTTTTGCAGGTGTACAAGTCCTCTTTTTTTTAACCTCGTCATGGTCCATGAATAGGTTAAAAGATAGTTGTTTAGGAGCATTTTGCATTCTTTCTGACAGTTGTTTTGATTTTACAGAACAGATTAATAGAAATAAAGCAATATCAATTTAGGTAAAAATTGCCACCGGAAGCGCTTTCTTTTTACTTCCACGACGATTTTGTTGTTTTGGAATCAGGTTCATGTTGACCCTATGGCTAAATTTGCTGCTTTTTCACCTCAAAATTTACTCTGAGTACAGAAAGACCTGTGTATCTGGAAAAGTTTCAAGGATTAGCATGCACTAGATAAATAAAATTCAAATGCATTTTATTTTTTAGAAAATTTAAACTTAACTGGATTTTGGAGTGCACTTTTTTCCGTTCCTTCAGAAGGTGTCAAAATAAACAAAGAATTGAGAACTTCCCCATAGGTAATAATTGAAGTGAACTGTATTGATTGAAATGGATAATAGAGGGATAATAGATACCTGACAACAATTGGTGATTTTAACTGTGTCACTGAGTGGACCATATCAAGTGAAACTCAACTGTTTGTTTATTTTATCATCTTCTGCAGGGACGAAAAAAAGTGCACTGCAAAATCCAGTTAAGTTTCTTATTTTCTAAAACATGAAATGTATTTGAATTTTATTTATCTAGGGTATGCTATGTCTTAAAACTTTTTCCAGATACACAGGTTTGTCTGTACTCAAGGTAAATTTTGAGATGAAAACTCAGCCATTTTAGCCAAAGGGTCCACATGAACCCTTTAAATATGTATCGATATTCGATAATTAAATTTAAAAAAACAGTTATCAACAAAGACTGAATAATAGAATTTGAGAATGAAAATAGGGAACTTGTCAAAGAGACAACAACCCGACCAAAGAGTAAAAAACAGCCGAAGACCACCAATGGGTCTTCAACACAGTGAGAAAATCCCGCACCCAGAGGCGGGCTTCAGCTGGCCCCTAAACAAATATGTGTACTAGTTCAATGAAAATGGACGTCACACTAAACTCCAAAACATATAAATGAATTAAAATTAAAAAACATACAAGACTAACAAAGGCCAGAGGCTCCTGACTTGGGACAGGAGCAAAACTGCGACGGGGTTAAACATGTTTTGTGAGATCTCAACCCTCCCCCTATATCTCTAGTCAATGTAGAATAAACAAACACACAGCAATACGCACAGTAAAACTCAGTTTAAAAGAAGTCCGAGTCCGATGTCAGAATAGGTAACAAAAGAAACTAAGCAAAATGACAATGATACGTAAATTAACAAAGGACTACACTATATATATAGCAGTTACTGACATGCCAGCTCCAGACCTCAATTAAACTGATTGAAAGATTATGTCTTCATCATATGACAATCAAGCACAATCCCTCCCGTTAGGGTTTTAGTATCATACCATCATAAAATATATGAGACGAACATAACCCGTATCATGCCAACAACTGGTTTTAGAATAAATTTGTTTATTTCCGATGCAAAGACCGTATGAGTGAATCAATATTAATACCAAAATATGCCATCTTTAATGACCTGACAACAGTATCGTAACTATATCCCTTCTGAATAAGTCTGTTCAACGGTTTGGTTAGCTTTTGAGGTGAATGTCGACATTTCTGTGCTTTGTATAGAATATTACCATAAAAGATTGGATGTGAAATACCTGAACGTATAAGATATCTGCATGTTGATTTATATTTACGAATGATGTCCTTGTACCGATGATAAAATTTACGTTGAGAGTCGGGGTCAGCGTACACATTTTTTTAAAACTAGAAACAATATTGATGATTGTGGCCAAGTAGTTTCAGAGGAGAAGATTTTTGTAAAAGTTAACAGACGACAACTATAAAAGGCATTGACATGAATAATGTGAAACAACTCAAAGAGAAAACTATTTGCAGAAAATATAACAAAACAATTTAAGAAAAACAAATATGACAGACATGAACCACCAACATATTATATTTACGAATCATGTCCTTGTACCGATGATAAAATTTAGTAAATGTTTTGACTAGTTTGTGATAACGAAAACCCTGGTGTAATAATTTTTAGGTAATACAGAGGTTTCTTTCGTTAAAATCAAATACGTTGTTACATACACAAGCGAATCGAACAAGTTGAGATATATAAACACCATAAGATGGTGACAAGGGAACGTCACCATCTAAAAATGGATAACTAACAATAGGAAATGAAAAATCATCTCTTGTATCATACATTTTGGTATTAAGCTTCCCGTTAAAGATATAGATATCAAGATCCAGGAAATGGCAGTGTTCATTGTTAATATTAGCTTTATTTAAAGTCAGTTCAGCAGGATAAATCTCTTTAGTGTACATACTGAAGTCGTCATTATTGAGAACCAATATATCATCCAAATATCTAAAAGTGTTATCAAATTTTTGTATCAGATGTTGTTTCGATAGGTCTTTGTTGATTTTAGTCATAAATTGTAACTCATAACAATACAGAAACAGGTTATCATAGAGGTGTTCTCGCTCGGACACACACTCCAGTATCTAGTATATTATAAAAGCATAAACCTGAAGCACGGGGAGACGTTTGGTTATGTCTGCTGTTTCCGTTTGCGAATTATATGCAACGCTAGACCTCAGATCACTGTGAGCAAAGCGGTATTTATTTCCTTTTATTTGTGACTGCGCGTAAGATGTCTAAAAAAATGTTAATTTGTGCATAATTATTTCAATGTTTTACGTCTTATTTCACAAAACGCTGACACAGGCATTTTTGCGAACAAAAATTAAAAAAAAAAAAAGAATTCATGAACAATACACGTATCCGTCGTGAGGAGTTGGCTATCATTTGGGTGTCTTCAAAGGCATTATTTAAATAAGATTTAGACACATTATAATTTAACACTTTAGGTTTGTTATATTGTTGAAGGTTTCTTTTATGAATGGATTTGATTGCTGTACACCGTTACGGTAATGGGCAATTTCAAAAAATTGATAACTGTTCACAAGAATTGATGCACATAAAGAACAAGCATTTGCATAATTTCAAGTTGTAAATGAAAACAAGACAGATAGAGAAAGTGATTAAAATGATTTGAACTGATATATTAGGATTGGTATGATTGTCGAAGCTACAGTTCATAAATGTTAACTTTAATATTATTATTATAAACATATGCACTTGCATGGTACTACAATCTGTCGATATATATATTTTGGCATTGCACAAGGTCATGTTTTTCTCTGATTGTTAATGACGTAAAAAAAAAATCCATTGGATGTTGGAGGTGTACTGATTGATATTTTAGTCTAAGATACATGATTTTTTTTTATTAGTTGTTATTAGCTTTGAACAAGCTGTTAGAAACTGCGAGTACTCTCAGATCTGTATTTTTTTTGTTAGGGATGAGGGATGGATATATACCCTGCCAAGTCCGGTCTGTGTTTTTGTTTGATATTTTTCTGCTTTGTATCGATTTGATGAGTTAAGCCTTTTTCAACTGATTTTTATAGTTTGTTCTTATGTTGTGCTTTTACACCACTGTCTAAGGTTAGGGGTGGGTTGAGCGCTCACAAACATGTTTAACCCCGCCACATTCTTTATGTGCCTGTCGAAAGTCAGTGGTTGTCGTTTGTTCATGTCTGTCATATTTGTTTTTCGTAAATTGTTTTGTTATACATTAGGCCGTTAATTTTCTCAATTGAATTGTTTCATATTTTCATGTCTGGCCTTTTATAGCCGACTATACGGTATGGGTTTTTCTCATTGTTTAAGGCCGTACATTTGCCTATAATTCCTTACATCCACTTCATTTGAACTTGGGTGGATATTTGTCTCATTGGCAATCATACCAAATCTCCTTTTTTTATATTTAATGTTCAGATACATGAATAAAAGGAGCAACACAACTAGACATATAAAACAAAAAGACATCAAGAAGTCAACATAGGGTCAATTATGTTCTTAGACCTTATCGCTATTTGGGAATCTGCGACACTTGAACTATTGACGTGATATAACCATCACTTTTCCTTTGTGACGTCAGACATTTTTTATTGTGACGTCAAAATTTTACGGGACCCTTTGCAATGTTCAATAATGGCGGACAAATAGCAATAAGATGTATATGCCAACAGACCTGGGGTTATTAAAAATGTAATTGTAATTAGCTGTAATTAATTACAATTTTGCAAGTAATTCAATGTAATGTGTAATTGAGCATATAATATTTTCAATTACATGTAATTGAAAGTAATGAATTACATTGCATTTTTTGTCATGTAATTATGAATTACTTTTCAATTACTTTGAATTACATTCAAATAATTGCTGGGAATTTTTTTAACATTTTTGGCCTTTCTGATGCAACTTATAAATTTATTTTTTCCTATATTTAGTATGCACTTGGTACTTTGATTTTTTAAAATACTTTTTAAACTTTTATCATGATGAAAAAAATATAACATACCTTGATATTTCATTAATCATTATAGGATGTATAATAATCTTTATTTGTATTTAGTTCATTGATTTTTTCACATGTTTACATTAAAATATAAAAATTAAAAACATTACCAATTTATTTACATACAATTTATAAATATGTTGTTCTAACAATAAACTATAATCTTAGCCTCAGGTTATTCCTTTCACTCAACTAATTAGGATGTACAAGTTTGCTCCTTGATTAAAATGCCAAAGGCATTTATTTTAAACCATCATATG